AGAACTGCTGCTGTGATAAATGTTGTACATGTATATCTTTGAGTAATTCTCACTGTTTGCCTTCCCCTTTTATGGAAGTCATAGGGCAGGGAAAATGGTTAAAGTGCTCATCTGCTAACTGAAAGATTTCAGATTCAAGTTCATCCAGAGGCACCTCAAAAGAAAGGTCTGGTCACCTATTCCTGAAAAGTCAGTCATTGCAAACCTTGGGGCCTGCTGTGACACACGGGATCACCATGAGTTGGATCAAGTTGATGGCAACAAGTGTTGGCTTCTTCCTCTCTCTCTGCATGTGTGCTCACATCTCTGTCTCCATACAAAGACAGATAAAACCACTGCCATAGTGTCAATTCCAACTTAGTGACTCTGTAGGAAAGTGTGGAACAACTCCATAGAGTTTCCAAGGCTGTATGTCTTTATGGATCAGATTGCCGTATCTTTCTCCCACAGAGCAGGTGGTGGGTTCAAACTGCTGCCCTTTCTGATAGCAGTCAGTTGTCTTGTTCACTGCATTTAATTTATCTCTGCAGTAGCTGGTTTACCCTTCAATATGGATTAAAGCTCAACATCAAGAAAGCAGATTCTCAGCGAGCTCTGGTGGCCTAGTGGCAAGAAGGTGCACTGCAATCCCAGAGGTGAGCAGTTCAAATCCACCAGATGCTTTGCTGGAGAAGGAGGATCAATCTCCTCCTGCACCAGTCAAATCTGATTTGATGGTACACACGCACACACACACACACACACACACACACACACTAATAATAATAATAATTAATAAAATTTAAAAAAAGAAAGAGATTCTCACCACTGGGTAGATTGGTAGCATCATGATAGACAGTAAAGAGATTGAGATTGTTAACAGCTTCAGTTTGCTTGTCTCCAGAGTCAACTCTCTTGGTACCAGCAGACATGAAATCAAGAGACGAATTTCACTGGGAAAGTCAGCTTTCAGGGACCTCTCCAGTGTACTGAAGAGCAACAGCGTTAGGCTGGAGACTAAGGTGCGCCTGATCTAGGCCATAGTCTTCACAATTGCATGCTGTGCATCAGAGAGTTGGAGAGTGATAGGGATGACACAAAGAGAATTGATGCCTTTGAGCTGTGGTGCTGGAGAAGAGTGTTGAATATTCCATGGACTAGTAGAACAAAGAGGTTTGTCCTGGAGAGGGTGAAGCCTGAATGCTCCTTGGAGTCAAGGATTCTGAAGCTTCATCTGACATACTTTGGACATGTTGCAAGGAGGGACTGGTCCTTGGAGAGGGACATCATGTTTGGGAGAGTAGAGGGACGGCACCAGAGAAGAAGACCCTGGATGAAATGGATTGATTTAGTGATTTGGGTGGTGGGAGAAAGTGTGTCAGAGACAGTGAGGTTGGCACAGGGTAGAACGGTGTTTAGAGCTCTTGTACGTAGGATATCTATGAGTCGCAATTGACTTGATGGCACATAACAATGACAATGCTCAAACCCCATTAGGGACAATTTTGAATGTTTCAGAGGCTTATCTATAAAAAACCATGCCTGTGGTGAGCGCTGAAATTGTGCCCCTGTCCAAACATACTGTCTTTTAGATATGTTTAGATATGACATATGTAGATATGTCAGGAGCCTCTCCAGCGTACTGAGCAGCAATGATGTCAGTCTAGAGACTAAGGTATGCCTGATCCAAGCCATGGTCTTTGAAATTGTTATGCATCAGAGAGCTGGACAATGACTAAGGATGACAGAAGAATTGATGCCTTTGACTTGTGGTGCTGGAGAAGAGTTTAAAACATAACATGGACTGCCAAGAAAACAAATAGGTCTGTCTTGGAGAGGGTGAAACCAAGTTTCTCCTTGGAGGCAAGGATTTTGACTCTCCATGTCACATACTTTGGTCACGTGGCCAGGAGGGACTGATCTTTGGAGAAGGACATCATGATCAGAAGGTGGAGGGAGGGCGCAGGAGAGGAAGACCATAGCTCAGATGGGTTGATACGATTACTAGGGCAATGGGTGTTGTAGGTGTGTTGGAGTCCGTGAGACTGGCTCAAGACAGCTACATAGGGTCAGGATGAGTTGTTGGTGACTTAACAACACATAACAATATTATAATCAGTTTAAAAATACAAGTAAAATTCATTAATCATTGACTTAATACATTATGGCACTCGATGAAAATGACAACTGCAAAACCCATTGCTGGCGAGATGGAATGAATCTATAGCTGCCCCTCCAATAGAGTTTTCTGAGGCTGTAAATTTTATGGGAAGAGATTGCCCGTCTTTCTCTCTCTGAGCTGCTGGTGGATTTGAATGGCCTACCTTTGGCAGTATAACTCCCTGTCTCGGGAGGCCACCAGAGATGCGCTGAAAAGAATTTGTCCAGCTTTATCTTTTTGCACACAGCAGAGTGAGGTCAAACAGTTGGCCTTGACTCATACAAAATGGCACTATAGGACAGACTTGACCTGCATCAGACAATTTCCATGGTGTGCCTGATCCAAGTAATGGTGGTTTCAGTTATGCATATGAAAGCTGGACAATGAATGAGGGAGACTGGAGAAGCAATCCCTGTGGATTGTGGTGTTGGTGAAGAATATAGAATGTACCATGAACTGCCAAAAAACCAAATAAATCTCTATGGGGGCTTCTTAGAGGCCAGGTTGGGAGAGACTTTGTCTCACATACTTTGGACATGTTATCAGGAGGGTCTAATCCTGGGAAGAAACGTCATGCGTGAAAAGATGGAAGATCCATGAAGATTACTCAACAAGATGGATTGGTACAGTACCTGGAACAATGGGTTTGAAAGCTATATGAGAGGTTGGGAGGATGTAGTAGTTCGGAGAGAGCTAAGTTTCAGTCTCTTGTACATGGGGTCACAGTGAGTTGGAGTGAATTCTATGCCACCTAACAATAACAATCTTTATGGCTGGAAACTGCCACATCTTTCTCCTGAGCAGCAGTCGGTGCCTTTGAACAGGAGACCTTTTCCATTAGTAGCCAAGTGCTCCAGTTGCCACACTATCAGATCCTCTTCCTGGACCTGTGGATGCTCCCAGTTTCAAAAGTATGACTTTTAATTTGTGGAATGGTCTCTCATCACTGGTGATGGATACCATGAAAGTGGATAGAAACTGCTCAGTGGCGCCCCCCTTCAACTGCACGTGCCATACCTGCCATTCTTAGACAGGCCTCTGCCTGTCCCTGTCTAACTAACAGGATTCCAGTGGTGGAATTTCTGGCATAAACATTGGGGTGGGGGTAGATACACTGGGAGCAAGGCAGCGTCTTTGGGGGTGGAGGAGGTGACAGAGGAAAGTTTACCTTGGTTATGTCATGGTTACCACAAGTCTCCTGGAAGTCTCTCTACCTTCATGTTAAGTTTATCCTTGAAAAACGTTTCCCAATACTAAAGTAGTAATCACCATTTTAGAAAAAAAAAAAATCCCACCAAAAAACAAAACTAAACCCACAAAATTTTTTTTAAAAAAGCCTGTAAATGGAGGGGAGAAGGAAAGCAAACTTCCTTTGAGCATGTTGGGCCATTTTTCTCGTAGTCTGCCCTATGTAAATGGCTTTGGTATGCTGGGTACGCTGTGGGAGTGCTTACTTGATATATGCTGGGTACGCTGTGGGAGTGCTTACTTGATATTTCGTGTCACCTAGTTTTCCCGAAGAACTTCCCTGACACTTGCCTGTATTTCCTGGCCTAAAGTCTTGCAGCTAGGGGGTCTGGAGCCACAAGTACCTGGAGAATTTGGAGCAGGCAGGGGCCAACGTTTGGGGGCTTCAGTTTTCTCGGCTCTGGGATGCACGTGGAAAGTCAATTACCATCACGGTTTAATATTTTAGGAATCGCTCTGGCTTTCCCTACCAGTGTCTGGGGGCTTTGCTCAAACACCCGGACCTACAGACTGGGAGATGCAAGAACTAAGGGAGAGTGGGGACCTTGGGCAGGCCTTTTGGGGTTCTCCTGGCAGGGCCGTGACTGGCCACCTGCCTGCCCGGTCCCCGCTGCCAGGTGTGCCCTCCCTGCCCCTCCAGGGAGAAGCCGCTTCAGTTCCTCCTTCAACCTCCGAGCCCCCCCCAATCCCCGGGATTTCTCCTCATTCCGGGAACCAGCCAGGGTAGTCGGGCGCCCCCCAGGCCCAGCCCCCGTCTTAGGTGGGTTGAGAGGAGACTTCTCATGCCATAGTGAGGGGTCTCCTCAACCTGAGCATTGTCTGGGTCCCAAGAATTTGCGCTGGGCCGGCTGCGAGGCAGCCCGGGTGGAGAGCCATCCTCCGAGTCCTCCTTCCTTTGAGCCGCGGCGCCCGCCCATCCTGGCCGCCGAGCGAGAGGCCTGCGGAGGTGGTGGGCTGGGGGGGAGAGGATCAAGGGGAGAAGGGGGGAGGTGGGCTGGCGGAGGAGGAACCCGCGAGGGAGGAGCTGGGGACGAAGGGGAAGGAGACGGAGAAGCGGGGAGAAGGGAGGAGCGGCTGCCGGCAGGGGCGGGGCCTCGGTGGACATGGGGCGTGACGGGGGCGTGACCCCCCGCCCTTGGCCCCGCCCCGCGCGCCGTGAAGGGAAGATGGCCGGGCGCGCCGCGGGCTCGGAGGGGTCGCCAGCTGTGGCAGCGGCGGCAGCAGCTCCGGGGCTGTGACTCGCTGGGCGACAGCGGCAGCGGCCCAGGCGGAGCGGCC